TTTCCGGAAGGCCTTCGACAGTGTTCCACACTAACGTCTCCTGCACAAGTTGAGACTGATGGGTATCGGAGGCAGACTTCTTAAGTGGATTGAGCATTTCCTAGCTGGATAAGAAATCACAGACGACAAAACGCGGTCAACTTAGCGTCAGCTATGGGGTGTCCTTAAGGCATCTCGAAGTATGGGGTGCTGCGTTTTTGCCTACGCTTTTACTTTGCGTGACAGGAGTTTCACAACATTTAGCGAAGGTCGCGCCTACCTCTGTAGACTGTTCCGTAATCATAGTTGATATTCATACTCACATTTATTGTGGTAAAATTTACGAATGCGTAAAGGAATGCCCACTATTGGACATGTGTCCAACTTTCCAATAGCATTCAAGGTATCTAGAAATGAATATATCTATATATAGCAACTGTTATTTATGGCTTTTAATTTATTAAAAGAAAGCCTCTGCTTTGTTCGACCTTGAACATACCTCCAAAAAGTGCAAATTCATAGCACATTGCGCATCTCCCGGTGACGTGCGGTATTTAGTCATGTCCTCGTCGAAGCAGACCTTCCGGACCCTAAATAATGGATCAAAAATGCCCGCTTTGGGTCTTGGAACTTTTATGGTATATTCTTCTATTTCGGAAATTATTTTCTAGTCACCCTCTGAAAATGTGGAGAATGCCGTGACATGGGCAATCGAAGCTGGATATCGGCACATTGATTGCGCTGCTTTTTATCAAAATGAGCCAGCTGTGGGCGCAGCTCTCAACAAAGCCATCCAGGGTGGACTTATTAAACGCGAAGATATTTTCATTACCTCAAAAGTATGAAAGGCTTCTGCTATTTTTCACTAAATTTAAGTTATGGTGCAGCGAACATCGAGCTAAGGATGTTCGCCCGGCATGCGAGGGTTCGCTCAAGAGGTTAGGATTGAAATATCTGGACCTTTATCTCGTGCACTGGCCTGTTTCGTTTAAGGTACACATGAAATAAACCAAATTGACAGATCCTTGTTATAGATAAAACCAAATGTTGAATTTTCAAAGGATGACCCTAATTGCCTGGAATTTGAAAACGTTCCGTTGGAAGAAACATGGGCGGTAAACAATGCATTTTTACAACAAATGTCTTGTCCTAAATAGCAAACCAATGTTTGACATACTTTACACGTACGTGTAAAGTATGTTTTACTTTATTAGAGGAATTATAATTACCTCTTAAAGAACTTCCCTAAATATATTTATGACGTTTAACTAATGACGGTCTGTACCCATCTAGAACCTTATTAAAAATTTAGGCCAGTGCCTACCTTCCTAATAAAACATGTTTTTTGCCCCACTTAGCGCAAATGAACAGGCTAGATCTTTTGTATGTCTAAGGGGTATCCTTGCAGCTTCTCTAACTAATGGGACATGAAAATAAAAGCCGACACTTTGAGGGACCAGCATTCTCTTCAAGAACCTGCTTCGCTTAACACCCTGATCATTCGAAGAACTGGACAGAAAGTTCTTTGAGCCTAGTATTTCAGTAACTCACGGTTAAAAACAAGCGAGACACAAAAGACGATCCCACCGTACCTGTTCCGTGTCTCCTATTCTTGCAATGTTTACAAAAACTTAGTTTTATGGAAATGAATTTAGTGTCAGCCATCTATCACATCCATGCTTCACGTTTGTCCAAAAGCATACATCCGCGATAATTCTAGCAGTCAGCTGAATTTTGTCTTAAAAGGCGTAAACAGATAGGAAAATTTTGACAGACGGCCACAGAAGCCCTCCAAAACAGCCAATTCGTAAGCACATTCCTTTCGAGTATCACATGAATAGTAAAACTGCTACAAGCCTTTGAAAAATGAAGCGCGCCTAGAGCGAGTCTTCTATCATTTTAAGTTTTTGCTTCAGAAAGAAAGTGAATTCATGTCTGGGCATTAAGTACTACAGACGGTCTTTAGTGTTTAATGCTTCATTAAAATGGAAAAACAGAATATTTGCTCAAATGTAAGAAGGCTTGATTCTATTTTATCATTCATTTGGTACTTACCAGCGATAATCTGAGAGTTATCCCCAAAAATCTTCTAAAGTGCTAGTACGTGTTCGAGATTATTAAAACCATTGTACTTCTCATAAGTTCTTTTTGGATTTGGAGAATCCATTTACCCCGAATTTTGAAAACTTTGAGGCCTCAGTTGGATTGGAAATCACTTTAGATTACGTTTGGATTACCTGCAAGGTGAAATTCATACTCCACTGGCGTCGATAAGTTTCAGAATTGGGTCCAATAATTTTACTTTTGCAAGGTCGCAAAAGGTTTCATGGAACTAATCATAAAAACTTTGGCGTACCATTTGCTTTTGGCATTTTCGTAGAGCAGTTTCAAGCCATTACGTACAAGTACAGAGGTACTGCAAGGCCCTTTTTCAGCTTACTTGCTTGGAATAAAGATACCTCTATTCACATCATGCATACCTAACTAAATCCTCCATATCTCAGCCGAGTCAATGTGATCTCGTCAGTGAAGGTTTTAAGTGTTGCCTGATGTTTAGTTTACCCGACTTTGAATCTCATGTGGCCAGATGAGCCAATGGGCCATTTTGGCCACGTTCTCGTCATTATCTGCAACAAGGGTCGGATTAAAAATACCTGTTTTCATTCCGTAGCCAAGATAGGTCGCTGTGAAAGTGTTTCGGCCTTTCTAAACAACCGATTTATTATAGTCCAAAACCCAGTAATTTTCTACTCAATTACTTTTATTAAGCGTACTTCAAATGGTCCTAGGCCATGGAGGAACTCGTTGACGCCGGACTCGTCAAATCTATTGGCGTTTCTAATTTCAACAAAAACCAGATTGAAAGAATTCTCAAAATGTGCCACATAAAGCCCGTTGTTAACCAGATCGAGGTGTCAATCAACTGGATGAACAGTAAAATGGTGGAGTATGCAACAAGCAAAGATATAAAAGTGACCGCCTACGCGCCTTTCGGTTCCCCTGTTTTTATTAGGTAGGTCACCCTCCTGAATTGTTGTATTCAGACAAAACCGCTTAACCAAGTCTTCTGTATTCCGAAATTAACTGTCAGTTTTTTGTTTTTATCGATTTTTAAAAAGCATAAAGCGCGGGGATTTTTATTTTCTTTTTTTACTAAGCAATTATCACTTATGAAACAAGATTATTCCATAGGATTTAACTACTTTTAATGGGACCATTTGAAACGCAATAACGTTTCTAATGCCCTGAGAAAAGCGAGTTTTATTTTCTTGTAGCGTAAATTGATTCACAGCTGTCCATTATCAGTTTTGGGGTTGCAGTTTCTATTTCATTCTTATAGAGACACACCTATTCCATCGCCCTTGCAAGAAGAGTACGTCATAAAGATTGCTCAGGCACACGGTAAAACACCAGCTCAAGTGCTCCTACGCCATGCGTTACAACGTGGTCTTATAGTAATACCCGGAAGCATAAACGCTGGACGCATCAAACAAAATTTCGATGTAAGTCAAATCTATTCCTGAAGACACGTTTAACATGGATAAAAGTATTATATATGCAGAAAGAAGAAAGAGGGAGGACGGAAAATGCTAGTAGATTGATAGAGTCCGTTTTAGCTTACTCTGCCATCATTCAGCCAATCATAATCAGCCGGGACTGGAAACACAACCACGTGCTCGAGTACGGCTTAGATGTATATGTATATGAGAGTAGAGGGCTCAACACGTCGTTACAACATCAACGATCTTATGAAGGAACAATATGTTCAGTTGTGTCATGGAGCTCTC